GAATTGCTCATTTGTTGGATTTTGGCATTAATTATCCCAAAACCTTTAATTTTTCCACATGTGAAAAACCCCTTATGTTTCACATGAAAGACACACTGATCAAGAAAAAGAGTAAGTTGTGGTTGTACCTGGTTTTGGGTTTTTCTCTCCCAGGTATGGACACCAGGTTGTCCTCTGGCAAAGCAGGAACAACAGCCTAGGAAGAAGAAAGACAATTTTTATGATACACAGGTAAAAAAACTTCTAAGTAGATTCTTCCTTTGCTGCTTCTCCTCTGGCATTACTGAGCCTTAACCAAAACATAGAACCAGGGCACTCCTGTTCATATTCCCTTCTTCAAAACACAGAACCAGGGTACTCCTGTTCATATTCCCTTCTTCCAAGTTGACTAACGTGTCTGCCTTGTGTCTTTTTTAAGACCACAGCATTAGTGGACAAAATCCTTCACGCCACAGAGAAGTCACAGCAGAGCATTACGTAAATGTTGCCATTCATCTAATAAAAAGCAGAAAAAGGTCCCACAACCATCCTGTAGACCACTTCTGCATTTAAAAGGGAACGTAGACCTAGAGAACATTTCAGTTTTCTCTCTTTTCTCCAAGAGGAGGGTAAAGCTTGGGCATGAACTCTACTAGGAACCCACTATTGCATCAGCCACCGTCCTTACCACAGCTGCTTTTTTAGCTGAAGGCTCCTTCGTGTCACCACCAGCAGCACTCAATGGTTTCACAGCCGCCACAGCGGAGGGATGGCTCTCAGCTGCCTTACGTTTCAGTGTCTGCTTTGTGGGGGAGGTGGTTTTCCCATCCAAAGGCTTCAGACACACCTTGGATTTGGCTAGAGTGAACAGAAGACAGAACTGAATTACACTGCCATTTCCCAGATTCTCAGCAGTATTTTCCACATAGTAAACTCCTGTTTGCCAACAAGCCATAAAAAGGAGCAAAGAAGTTAGGAGCCAGAGTTACAATGCGAAAATTGCCATCTTCTTTCTTTCAAAACACGACCTAAAGCAACTCAAACTTACAGTCAACACTCACTTTTAGCTTTCCGTTCCAGAAGCTGAGCTGCCTGTTTCCCTGGTGATAGTGCAGCATCTTTCCCTGGGCTTTCAACCTCATCCTCCCGAGGTTTCACCAATATCCTCTTCGCAAGTTGACAGGCTGACCCTGAAACCACACTGGATTCCGGGCTCCCTGATGCTGGAGTTTTATCCTTGATTGCTTTTTCAATGGGAGATGGCACAGCAGCTGCTTCCTTCTGAAGCTTCTCTTCTTGGCGTTGTTTCAGCTGCCGTTTCTCTCTCATTATCTCTTCAAGGCTCTTCACTTGAACTTTAGAATTAGTTGCACTGTGATCAGAGGGCTAGGAAGAAACAAAAGAGGACTAATAAGACAAAAATCTCCACTAGAGATTTCATGAAGAAAATCTGAGTGGCAATCCCTCCGAAATAGCTCCATGTGGAACAGAGCATGTTTATGCCATTCAGATCCGATGTTTTTTCCATAAAGTGTTGCCTGTAACAAGATCCATGTTTTGCTATGGAAATACTGTTTCAAAAGCCTGCAATTCCCAAGCTTCAATAGAGCAGGAGCTCTAGCTGTAATCTATTCCCAGCTCCCCAATACAGCATTCACTGACAGACTGACTTCCTCTAACACAGAGCTTCAGCCTTTTCCATTAAAATACTTACCTCGGGATCTTAAGGTATCATTCAAGCCTGACAGATAAAGTCGCTGAGAACAAAAACACTCACTCCACATTAACCCCACAGATTTTTATCTGGCACTAACAGGGTCTCTTATTCATTGCCAGGTATAATCAGATTAATTCAAAACGTGAGGATTACAACGGTGTACAGAACTGCTATTGAAAGTGACACAACTTACAACTTCACTGCAGCACTTACCAAATGCAGAAAGGCAGAAGCATGCTCAGACTTGGAGCATGCTCAGACTTGGAGCATGCAGCGAGTTAGCATAACAAAATCTATCAGAAATTGTATGAACTCACCTCTGCAGATGCAGAGACAGCTTTGGGAGAAGTCTTGCTCAATTCCACTATCTTCTTTTCTTCTCTTCCAGGTGCTTTAAAACAAGAAAAAAAAAATCATTTTTTCAACAGCAGAAATAAAAAAAAAGCTGGCTACCTGTTTCCTTGGTGTGTTTATTTCTTCATGTCTAATAATGAGACAGAGGGAACTGCTACAGTAAGCGATCCATGCAGCACTCAAGCTCT